ATATTTGTGAATCGTGGACACTTGAAACTTTTTGCTACTGCATATATATAATATTATTAACATCCACAATGATATTTTGAAAAAAATTAAGACTGATGATGTTCTATATGGTATACGTGATATTAACTTATTATAGTTAATAACAATAAATAATAATGTATAGAATAAATAATAATACTCGTATTATAATAATTTTATTTTTCTATATGCCTTTCATATGTTTCCCCAAAGATTTTCAACACTCTGGATCTGTTGCTTCTTCTTTTTATATAATTTGTCATTTGTCTAGTCCATTCAACTTTGACCAGATCTTCCTATCTTGCCTTTTTGTTATTCGGCTTCCTAGCAAATAATAGTTTATTCCCCTCCCCTTTGCGTCATGTGACACGCCAATATATATAATTTATGTAATATGTTCAGCCCATTCCAACCTTTTTGATTTAAGGAAATCATGTAAGCTGGATCTATTGTACAACCTGTTTAAGTCCACATTCTTTCTCCATGTGTAGTTTTTCTTCAATAATCGAAAGTCTTTAAATGAACTACTAGAAAAATACTATTGAAAAGTAAATAAAAATAGAATAGAAAATTATGGATACAAACATATATAGGCATATTATAGTCTACATTTTAAATAACCAAACTAAATGCAAGTCATTTAAATTTTCATGAAATGTGTCAGAAGTTTGTGCTCAAGGCTAACATGCCTGCATTTGGTACATGTATACTGTATAGGTATAGCCGTATAGGTACCTATTATACTATTTAATATTATAAATGTTAAAATCACACTATTTATTTGGACTCAGTCACTCGGACAACATAGTAAATTATAATTTAAATTGTATCTATTCAATATTAAACTATAATAATGTAAAGTTATTACTTATTATAATAGCATTAGTCATATTATATTATTAATATTCAGTAGGTAGTCATAGTAGGTTGAATAGGATATAATATTAAAATAATATTATGTGTGATGTGTAAATAATATAGTATACTACCCAATGAATTTACTATTATACATTATAATATTATGTGGAATACGGATATGGGCTATGCTCATAATAATAATTATATTAATACGTTCATCGTTCGACATCAGTAACTGTTATCTAAATAACTTTAATAGTAATTACTAATTGACACTTTCTAGTTTCTATAATATACGATTTAGGATAAAACCGTAAGAGAAACTTATATAAATTCTAGTACCTATTATAAATATTCAATCTTAAACTGACTTGCTGGTTTTTTAGAAAAAGGAATAACCGTCATAATATACCTACATAACACAAACTTATTATATAGGTTAGGTATATAAATATAATATAAAATAGATTCCGTCATTCTATATACATCATACATATATATTATATATACATGTGCATAAAATAATGTATAGAAAACAGATAAAACTGTAGGATATCTGGAGACTGGATAGTATAATAATATAATTGTAATGTATTATACCTACTGGCTACTGACTACAACTGTATTCTGAATCAGTGTAGCTACATTCAGCTATAATGGTATACGCCATTACGGCAACCTTTTAACTCTTTTAGTGGTTATTAATAATTGTAATTAAAATAATATAGTATACCAACAAATGGATTTTAAATAAAATGTAAACAATAAATTGTTACAAAGTCTATGAATATTATTATTATAGGTACGCAGTAGGATCATATGCGCTGAACTGCAGAAATAATTTTACAAAATATTTATATAATTATATATTTCTCATTTTCACCTATTATAAACTATAAATCAGACGTGTCTAGAGTTACTATATAATTAATCGTTAATTTATAAAATATGAGTTAGTAAATAATGCAATTATTCATTACTTACCTTTTTTTAAATAGAATAATATCAGTATAAAATAAAAATATAATATAATTTAGTATATAATACTTATAATCTGTACAGGCATATGTGGACTATAGTATATTATAGATATAGAATAGCTGCTAACCACGTACCTATATTTATTATTTACTCAGTACTTATAAATGGCAATACAATTTCTTAGTAATTAACGCAGTGACCAAGGTACATTCATAATTATTTTGGAGTAAACGATCAAATCAAAAATTAATTTAATTTTGCTTTACTAATATTGTAGGTAGTATCTGACAAAGTCATCAACAAAAATATAAACTTGTACAACAGTTTAAAAATCATTTGCATACAGGTCATAATTTTGTTGAAATAGTTAGATCTATCAAAGATACTTAACTAATTTAAGTATAGATATTAAAACAGTTTACGTCCAAATTTTTCTCAAATTTCAAACATAAGTAAGAGCATAGAATATAGATACATATATGTCAGTTAACATAAGCAATAAATGTATTTTTTTACTTTTCATTTTTATCTTATTTTAATTTCTATAACGTAAATGTGTTACACATATATACATATTTGGTCCATAAGGATAAGACATTGTATTATTAATCAAGAATCAATAATTACTATAATTAATTTTAATTTAAACATTATAATAGTAAAATACTAAAATATGGACATTACTGATTAGTGGTTACTCATATCTAAATAATCATACCTACATGTGTTGTCTCTGTCTTACAAGTGCGACGTTCGATATGCATTACATTTACGTCCAGATTTTCCCGTTTACCTTAGTTAGTTTTAAATTTTAATGTAAGAATGAATAAACAGATAGCAAACATTTCTGTGATTTGACGGATTTGTTTTTTCGATATTTCAATTTTAAAGAGAATAATGAGACTTTTAAAATTGTAATATTTATATATTAATTGTGCTTGTAAGCTATACAAGTATAAAAATTAAAATATCGAAAAAAAATTCCGAAAAATCACATTCAATGTTTTCACCTGCAAGTTTAATAATATAAGAATTGAAAATTACTGAAATTACTGAAAAATAGTTTTTTAAATTTTATTTTACATTACAGGATGAACCCTTCCCTTTAGTAATGATTATAAGAAAGATAAAATGCTTAATGGAAACTAGGCTGAAATTTTAGAGGGAGAAAGAAGGGACGGTATAGGAAATGCGCATTATAATGCATTGGGCAGATGATCGGAGAGTTCAGTATATTAGTTTGAGGATGAGAACGGAATATGGAATGGAACGGATGATAGTGTAGCACCCTGCATTGAACGAAACACGAAATAGTGATTCAGGGCTGTCAATTTTAGAGAAAAGTATATTAGATAGATAGGATACATGTGCAGAGTTACGATGATGATCTGCGAGACTTTCTAAGGAAAAAAGACGTTGGATTGGTGTGTAATTGTGAGGTGGACAGATAACATTAAATTTATAAGCAGCATGACAAAGGGATTTTCTTTCGACCCTTTTCATCATGTTACGATCAAAATCAGTGGATGGGTCCCAAAGCATGAAGCTAAATGATAGAAGTACATTTGCCATGTTTCTCACTTGTAAGACGGAGACAACACATCCTACCAAGTTTTGTTATGTATGCAAATTTAAAATATAAATGCGCATTTAAAGTATCATACATAATATATATTATATAGGCATATTGCCATATAGGTACTGAAGGTGTTTTCTATTGGCTATTTTCTTATACCTACATAATATTAATATACATTATTTCCCGCCTATAGTTAATGGAATAATATACTGTCATCTGTTCTCTGTGTATCTTATACGTGCTTAATATATTTTGTTGTCCACCCACCTACTTTTGGGTTCGAACACAAGTCACAAACACAACCGACTAACGAGATAGGCGAGATTCAAATTAGTCGTAAATATAATATTGCGTTGCAGGTACCATTGTTATTATTAACTATTATATAATACAATATAATATTACGCATTAGCACACATGCATAATATACTGCAATAATATACTGTTTAAATATTATAAGAAATAAGAGGCCTTTATATAGGTGTGTTTTGGAAAATGTCGAAAACGCACCAACCGAGGTAATAAGTAATAACTAATGTTATTGTGCATTAATAGTTAATACATTATCTATCATTATCACGTGTCGATGTGTTCAGCAGTATAGTATTATATAATTGTAAAATTGTTATAAATGTTATTACACTATTATTATTGCAGCGCGTTTCGTGTTAAACGAAATAATAAATTACACGCCCGCGGCCCGTTAAATTGGATTGGATTTATCAAGAACACGATAAAATTGTCAAAAACGACTCATCGTGCGCGCGCAAAACGAATTACGACAAATTGAACACGAACGCGTACAAATAATTAAAACGCGCGTTGGCGGTGGTGGTGCCGTCGCGTGGGAGAGCGCCAGAGCGGCGCGACTGCAATAACCGTGGACGGCGGAATCGGGCGGCCGCCACCACCGCGCGCGTCGCCGGCACAAGACCGGCCACCGGTGTGACACGTTTTTTTCAGTATTTTTTACTCGTCGTCGCCAGACAATCGCCGTCACGTTTGCGTTGGCCGCTCACCACTCTACAGCACGGCTATCTATGCTCTATAACCGTGCTTTACAGTGTACTCGTAGAGTGTGGTCGGTGGACCGTGTTGCGGGCGTCGGTGGTGGTAGGTGACGGTAGGTGGTGGCTGGTGGTGCAAGTGTGCAACGAGTAAAAACGACAACGCACGCGCGTAGATGGAGTATTGCACCGGGCCACCGATTGTACATTTAAGTATTTAACTATTTCAGTTATTACTATATTATTCTAATACTATTATATGTACACGCGTGCGCGCGCGTCGCGACACGTAATTATTATTCACATTTCACGCGCGCACGGGCGGAGCGTTGTTTATTCATTACACTCCTCGCGCCACAGTGCCACACGGCCGGCGATCAGCAGAGATCCAGAGAATATCCGAACGCGGAACGGCCGGGTTTACGTTTCGCGCGCGTATAACACTGCTCGGGAGACGGGAATACATATATACATATTTGAATAATACGCACACACATTTCACATATATATATATATATTAGGACACTGTTATCGCCAGTGTATGTATATGATAATATACGTGTGTATGTATATTAAATAATATCGTATATTATTTATAAACGCGCGCGCGTCAACCGACGATGCCGTCGCCGCCTGCGTTGCGTGCGCGCGCCAACTGAGTTGGAACGACGTCGACCGCCGCCGTCGATATCACCGCAACCACACACGACCGAGCGGCGATAGCCGCCGCCGCCGCCAGTGCATTGCCGTCCGCCGCCAGTACTTTGCCGTCCGCCGCCAGTACTTTGCCGTCCGCCGCAGTGCAGTTGTAAAATGCCATTGCGCCTGTTCGGTCGGCGTCGTCGGGAATCCTACCGGATCATCAACAGCGCCGGCACGTTGTAGTGCCAGCCAGCGGTAAAATGGCGGCGCTGTCGTCGACGACCACCACCACCAGCACCAATGCCACAGCCGCGGATAGCGCGCCTTTGACGGCAACCGCCGCTTCTTCGGCTGCCGCCGCGGCTTCTATCGTCTGGCCGAACACCCGAGACAGTTACGAACTCCGCGAAGTCATTGGTAATCTCGCTTGTATTCTTATCACATAGTTTTAATATTCAGCTGTTGGTGGTGTCTGGTCTCAACACCGGCTAATCCCTGCGATCCTGATTCTTGACGCGTTACTGGCGCGTCGTCTGCCGATGTCTACCTGGGAGACCCGGTGACCGGTGTACGCCGCCGTACAACACCTGGCCTGCAGCTCCCCTCTCGCCGACACCGGTCGCTATCGTCATATATTTTCGATTTAAATTGTTTTTTAGGTTATATCGTGACGATTTCTAAAATTAATAAATGATTATTATTATTATTGTTTTGCGGTTTATTAACCCAGCAAACGGGTTCGAGACTGTGATCGCACCGAAATCGGCATCCGAACGATCGTTTTCATTTTGTCGCACGATTTCTACAGATACCTCAATGGTGTCTTGTTCAATCTGCTCCGTCAACTCGAACTCGCTTCACTACTCTGTCCCCCCCCCCCAAACCCATAATCGTGTACTTTCGTACCTATCTCACAGACGGTTAAATTATCGTCACTAATCGAGTAGTATACAACTATAGTCTTATGTGATATCATTACCTACCGATTACCGTCAACCACAATAATAATAAATAATTATAAGACAATTCATTCTTTCGAATTGTTCTGTGAGATATCAGGTTTTTCCATTAGGTCAACATTCAACTTGTCCTGTTGAATTGCTATTGATCATTATAGTTGGACAGTTAGTACTATTGGGTGGTTGAAAATCGTTTTATTTTTATTTTTGCACCATTGAATATTATTCCTTATCTAAACTATCAAATTGATGAACACGCTCATTAAACATTTCGCAACTTTTAAGGTGTCGCGAAATACATGACAGAAAGATATATCAGACATATCTGATATATGATATATATAATATTTGTCATATCTTTCTGTTACACCCTGTATATTGTATTGTATAGTGCATTATATAAGTACCTACAATCTATATGGGATAAAATTAAAATTTGTCTGGTTCTATGTTGTTAACAAAATTAAATAAACCCACAATTTGCTTATTATTTTTAATTAATTAAGTAATAAATTAAAAATTTAATAAAATTATGGGGATACAAAAAAGTTAATAAGACTAAAACTATATTTTTTTTTTAAAATCCCCATCTAAACATTTACAAAACCAATATTATAAATCTATAATATAAAACCGTTTTGTGTGTGGTATCTATCTATAGACTATAGTATTATTTACTATGATATTAGTAACAATTTTATAACAAGAGTAAATAACAAAGAAAAAATGTTTGTAGGTTACATTTAATAATATATACCTAACTAACCTCAGAAATACTCTTATTTTCAAATGTTCGCCTCACTTTAGGTTGTAGAAAACAAAATTAAATTGTGTATAATTAATCTTGTCAATAAAGACAAGAGTTATTTAATAAAAATATTCAAGTGCCTCCCTATCAGACGTTTAATGAATTCAAGTTTTCATATTGTAAAAGTAAATAATGAATCATTGATGCCATCATATTAATTTAGCATTTTAGTATATATTGTTGAACATTGAGTAAACATTAGTAAACATTTTATACAAAAAAATATCGTTGTATAATAATGTGCACTACAGTGCTATTTTTGAGGCTTTAGATTAACCGTGCCAAACAATATTGATCATATAAATTAGTACTTTTGACTAGTAAAATTGAATCTCAATGTTGTTCTTTAATTTAAAAATATAAATCTGTACCAGTGTTGGGTAAATTTTGTATGAATATAAATTATGAAACTGATGCATAAGTGTATAAAAAAATAGATAAATTAAACACATTATGTCGAGAATTATAAGCAGTTTCAGTATAAAATAAGTATTTTGATATTTTTAATATACTAATATAGTATTCTATACTTTAGTTTGCAATAATCTATTAAATAAATGATTTAACCAAAAGTTTTTATTTGATACTTGTAGGTATACAATAATAATAATAGTAATAATAATTATCAATATGTCTAACTGAAAGTTAAAATAAAATATAAAAATAAATTTTTGTTCTATCTATAGGGTTATGTTATTTTGCTTATAGTTTTTTATATATTGAGTAATGGTACATTGTAAGAAAAACTTTTTCAACTTTTTCAGTGAAAAAATGTTAGGACTAATATTTAAAACATAGCTTGACCGTGTACTAATGTTTTTAATAGTAGTATGTATTTACAAAGTAATGCAACTCATGAACTTATTAAAGTATTAATTTTTGTTATAAAAATACATCAATATTCATAATACAATAAGGTTAAAAGCATCGGTACATTATAATATAATTATATAAATAGTTTATTATAACCATTCCCTGTGACCAATTTATTAAAAATAATACACATTTTTACATTAATATTTTGAATATTATGCAATACAGATTCTAATTTAGGTAAATATTTAAGTATTTTCTGCCATGACATTTAATTACAATATTAATTAATTATGCTTATTGCTATGTTTTGAAGATACGAATTATGTTAATAAATAAATGTTAATATTTTAGGCGTCGGTGCAACCGCTACTGTTCATGGTGCTTTTTGCAAACCTCGTCAAGAAAAATGTGCCATCAAGAAAATAAATTTAGAAAAATGGAATACCAGCATGGACGAATTAACAGTAATTTTTTATATTTTAATCAATAGTTAATAATTATTATAATTTTTTTTCATACTTTATAGAAAGAAATACAAGCTATGTCATGGTGCCAGCATGAAAATGTTGTTACATATCATACTAGTTTTGTAGTTGGTGATGAATTATGGTTAGTATTACGTTTGCTAGAAGGGGGATCATTACTCGACATACTTAAACATAAAATGCGCACAAGTGATTGTCGTCATGGTGTTCTTGATGAAGCTACTATTGCAACTGTCCTAAGAGAAGTTTTGAAGGGCTTGGAATATTTCCATTCTAATAGTCAAATTCATAGGTACTCTCTCTTAATTGGCTATATATACACAAGGAATTTATAATCATTTTTTATTCATATATCTATAGAGATATAAAGGCTGGCAACATTCTTCTGGGTGAAGATGGAACAGTTCAAATAGCTGATTTTGGAGTGAGTGCATGGTTAACGACTGGTTATGATACTAATCGTCAGAAGGTTCGACACACATTTGTTGGCACACCTTGCTGGATGGCTCCGGAAGTCATGGAACAGGTACACACGGTAAAAGCAAAACATTTAACTAAAATTAATGCAATCGGTAAACACCGATCTCTAAGCTCGAAACTCTAAATTGTCCGACCAAAAATACATTAGGACCACGGATATGACTTCAAAGCAGACATTTGGTCATTGGGAATTACAGCCATTGAGTTAGCTACTGGAACAGCACCATATCACAAGTATCCACCAATGAAGGTTCTTATGTTGACACTTCAGAATGATCCACCTACATTAGATACTGGCGCTGATCAAAAAGATCAGTACAAAGCTTATGGCAAAACTTTTCGAAAACTAATTACCGATTGTTTGCAGAAGGATCCAACTAAAAGGTATTTTCATTTCTTCTTTTGCTAGATACATTTTTAGTATTTGATTATGTTTTGTATTCAGACCTACAGCTACTGAACTTCTCAAACATCCAATTTTTAAGAAAGCCAAAGATAAAAAGTACCTTCAATCAACTTTAATTGCTATTGGTCCTAGTTTAGAAACTAGAGTACAAAAGGTAGATTTTATACTTAAAAAGAAGGATTCTTTTATGTACTTTTGTATTTATGCATTAATACAAAATGTTAATTTTAAAGTTCTAAATAAAATCATTTGTTTGTGATAGGCATCAAAAAGACAACCCGGTACATCTGGCAGATTACATAGAACAATAACTGGGGAATGGACATGGTCATCTGAAGAAGAATGCGACGGACAGTCATCAGATGATGAAGTAAAAAAACTTATTAGAATATTAATTGTATAGTATAAATAACACTACTAACTTAACAACTGTTTTGTGCTATTATTTTAGTGTCAAGAAAAACCACTAAATAAATTACTTGAGGTCCCTCAATCATCTGATAGTGAACATGAAAGTGGTGATGAACACTTAAATCTTGTTCTACGAATGAGGTTTGTTTTGATTTTTTTTTAATGAATTACATTTTAACTTAATGCAAAACATTTGTATGCACTTCTTGATATTTCATAAGAAATAATAATATACATTAATATGGACTGATAATTAATTAAATACAAGTGGGAAATAAGATTTAAAATCTTACATAATTGCCCTTAATTAATTTAGATAGAGTTGATTTCATATTTGTTTTGGATATTGATCATACTAACTTGAAAAAAAAAACATAAACAAGTAATACAAATATTGATCTTCTAAGTGCCAAAATCTATTTATAATATTTAAATAAACATTTCTATAAAATTCAACAGTTGTATTAAATTTAAAAATACATACTGTTAGATATTATAATTTTTTAATAACTACACATAATATATCTTAATATATATTATATATATTTAGAAACTCCAATCGTGAACTTAATGATATTCGATTCGAGTTCTTATTGGGAAATGACACTCCTGATGGTATTTCTACTGAATTAGTGGGAGCTGGATTGGTAGATGGCAGAGATGCCGATGTAATAGCTATGAATTTACGTGTTCTGATAGGTAATCAAACTCGCGATAGACCAGTTACTTTTGCTCTTGTAAGTATGCATTTTATATTTTACTATGGCATGAAATTGTAATACAATTATTTATCAATTAGGTATCCGGCTGCAACAGTGATGAAACACCTGATGAGAAAATGCTAGTTGGTTATGCCCAACTGTCTTATGCAGATTGAAATCATAGTTACCAAATGACTTATATTCATCTGTTGTGCCACTAAAAAATTTAACTCTGTATGTCTTAAATAAAATTTTGTATGTATATATATAAATATATATATATATATATTTTTAAATAATATATTTATTTATTTTTGTACATAGAATCTTAGTTCAGATTTTGAATAAAGATATTATATGCTTTAGCAACAACATGCTTGTGTGTTTAGTGAATTGTGTTCCAGTGTACCACATTTTTTTATAGTCGTTACTTAATTCCAAATAAATTTGTTTCATTATTATGCTGTTTATTATGTTTTTACTTTTATCATAAACATTTTTTTTATATTAAAAGTTTCCCAATAGGCGTTAATCAAAATAGCCACTGTTTTCAATTCAATAATATTTTTTTTTTTTATGTTTGTAAAATATTTCAAGCATTACTTCAATAACTATCAAAACAGAAAACAGTAAACAGCAGTACAAATCATAATAAACTGATTTTAATGAAATATTTTTTTAAAATTTAAATTAATAATACTTATTTGTGATTTGTAAAATAAATACAATTTTGTTAAATACAGCAGTCTTTATAAATTTTCAAAATTGTTACGGTATATATTCTGTTCGTATAGTTGAAAAATTGAAAAAAAACTTTATACCCTGTAGATCACCTATTAACTGGGTTAAGTTCATTGTCTAGTTTTGGTTTGTATTTCAATAATTTGGCATATTCATGTAGCAGTGTTTCCCAATACCATGTTATATCTTTCATTCTTAAATGGGTTCTGATAAATCTATAACCCCGTTCTGAAATTTCTTTGGCTAAATCGTCATGCTCTTTGAAAAATACTAAAATATTTCTGAAACAAAAAGAGATAGAATAAATTCTTAAGAATTGAAAATATATTTTATATTATTTAAATTACTTAATATCTTTTTCGGATGCATTTGGATTTATTGGGACATAATGATACCAAGGCTTCATAAATTGATAGAAAAACTCCTTCCACTCTTCTCCAACATGAAAAACAAGACTTTTACACAAGAAAAGATGTTTGAAACGAAAACTAGCTGCCACACCTCGGAAATTAAACAAGTACTTATATTGACAATGGTCTTCTAATGATATTTCATCTGCAGGTGGAGCAAAAAGTGTATCCTATAAATATAATATATTATAAAAAAAAATCATTATTATCGTTGGAGTATTAGATAGATACTTTGTGTACCTTATCAGATTTCCAGGCTTGATTTTTTGTATATGCTGCATCCACTAGTTCTGGTTCATTTCTCGATAAAAGTATGAGCGAATCACGTTGTTCACTAGTTCTTGAACCTCGGAAAAACCCTTTAGAATGTTTATTTTTCCATGGCCATTGCTCAGATTGTTTCAAAATAGATTTTCTCAGAGAATCCCATCGGCCAAGTCCTGATGGATGCAGTTTAATTGCTGGCCCTCCACTCCAAAAAGACCATGCAGGATACATTATATCTGCATAATCATCTGTCTAGGAAACATATTAATCAATTTATTTAATTAATTGACAGCATAATTTTAATTCAATTAAATAATAAAAAAAACTAGTACTCTCACCTTGCTAAAAGAAAATACCGGTTTAGGATCACCATAATGTTTTATTATTTGGGGCCAATCTCGTGTATTCAAAATGAACTCTACGTCTGGAGTATTTAGCTGAATTTTACTTAAAAAATGTTCAATACCCTCACAACGGGCTGGAAACATACACTTTGTTTCTCTGTATAAGTCATGATTAAAAATCATATATCGAGTTCCTCTAGAAATAAAATTAAAAATAATCATTGAGTAAAAATTACAAATGTAATTGACAATTGTACATTACTTGTCTGCTGCTGCAGTTATCATTTCATGGGTAATACCATCTTTAAATGGCTCTAGATCTTTCAAGATGTTTGGAAAAAAACATGTTCCATTCTTTGTTTCACAAGGAGTGTATTCATTTTTAGCTTTGTTAATTTTGCTAATAATTTGGTTGGATACTGAATAAATGTACAAGAACAGCAATTGAATAATAAATTAATGACTATTTAGAAAGTAATCAACCTTTATTATTAAGCAAATATAAATAAAACTAAGTATTAAAAACAAATTAATACTCACATTTGTCATACATTGTTTTGGAATGGCCATGGTCATTTTGGCATACAATAACATTGAATAAATAAAATAAAACAATGTACAAAGTGTACATAATTTAAATAACATATATTCATTTAAATAGAAAAGAGAAATTCTATGAAATATTTTATTTTTCATTCACGGTGTATCCTTTTATGGATAATTTTTCAAGTCCTATTTTTAAAAAGTATTGTATTACTAAGGTCATTAAACCAAATTAAATTAAATGACATTTTTCATCGCTTGATAAATAACCAATAGGTTTAGATTACTAAATTTATTTTCATCTAGTAAACAAAATAAATATTTATTATTTAGAACTCGATTTAAAAATAAAAACTTTCAAAAACCATTAAATAAAGGTAACGCAAAACTAAAAATTCCAAAAGAAAAAATATCGTTATTATCAAATAGTTATCAGTTTGAAATAATATTTAAGGTTATGTTTACAATTTGTTGACCTGTGGTTCTAATGGTATATGTGACCGTAGTAAAGTTGTCTGTTGGCTTTAATCAGTTTAATCCTGATTCCTGAACGTCTGAACAGTAAGTTGTGGAGTGTGGACAACCGACTCCCAACTCTCGACTCCTAACTCCTAAGTCTGTACCCCGTAGTCCAACTCCGACAGTCCGACTGTTTTTTGTAGTATTGTACACCTTACGGATCTGTACTGTCATAACAAAATAGTTAACCGTCATGCCTGCTACAGTCATGTCCTTCTCGTATTTTACTACTGCTTAGTGTTTAATGTTTATATTTTTGCAAGACAAGACTACAAAAGTCTATAAGCATTAGGCATTTCAGTTTTATTTATTTAATAAGTTTCGTAAAAAACAGTTAATATTTTTTATCAAACAAAAGTTTTTGAATTAAGTTTTAAAGAGTTTTATTAATCATGGGTGTACCCAAGTTCTTCCGTTATATGAGTGAGCGCTATCCTTGCCTCAGTGAGCTTGTTAAAGACTATCAGGTATTAGTGTCTTAAAACTTATCATAAATTACTTTTATTGACTTTTTAATATGTTGCAGATCCCAGAGTTTGATAATCTGTACTTAGATATGAATGGTATTATTCACAACTGTTCGCATCCAAATGACGATGATCCACATTTTCGTATAACAGAAGAGACTATTGTTAAAAATATTTTTCACTATTTGGAGGTTCAATAATAACTAATATAGTCAATAGTCATATCATGATATCTGTGCTATCGTTTGGTGTTTTTTTTTTGTATTTAGGTATTATTCCAAATGATTCAACCACAAAAATTGTTCTTTATGGCTATTGATGGTGTTGCTCCTCGAGCAAAGATGAATCAACAACGTGGCCGACGTTTTCGATCAGCCCATACGGCTGCAGAACAAACGAAAGAAGCGATTTCTCGAGGTGAAACGTTGCCTTCAGAAGAACGCTTTGATTCTAATTGTATCACACCAGGTACTCCATTTATGGTACGTTTGCAAACTGAGCTTGAATACTTTGTTGCCGATAAAATGTCCAACGATCCATTGTGGACCAAGGTTCAGGTGATATTATCTGGACACCAGGTACCTGGTGAGGGTGAACATAAAATTATGGATTACATTAGATATATGAAGTCTCGCCCTGGATATAACCCTCATACGAGACATTGTCTCTATGGTTTGGATGCAGATTTAATCATGTTGGGACTGTGTACACATGAACCATACTTTTCATTGCTCAGGGAAGAGGTAATTCTTTAAACTTAAAAATATATACTTTTAAAATATCAACTTTTTAGTTATAAATATTATATACTAATATATACCATGTTCATTGTATTGTATAATAGGTCAAATTTGGACGTAAAGCAAAAAAAGAAACATCGGTGGATGAAACACAATTTTATCTTTTGCATTTATCATTAATGAGGGATTATCTTGGATTAGAATTTCAAGAACTCAAAGAGACTTTACCTTTTGAATTTAATTTGGAGTCCATTATTGATGATTGGGTAAATGTTGTATATATCTAATGAATAATATTAATTGATATATTATGTAGTAGGTGTAATAACTTTTCATTATAATATTCTTAACAATATTAAATTTAATAGGTATTAATTAGAAATCATTGTACTATAAATAGAATAACATATAGCCAAATCTTTATTAACACCAATTATTATTTTTTAAATACTAGTTTCCAACAAACTTGATTTTAGGTATCAAATTTTTAAAATTATTTTTAGTACTTCAATGATTTTTGGTACAAAACTAACTGTGATGCTTAGGAGTTTTTAGTAAGAGGTATCATAACATTTTAATTGATGTTGGTAGTTATGTTTTACAGGGTGATTCACCAAGCATGCTTACCCCACATTTATCTATTAATAATACATTTATTTAAAGTTCACTTTTAGATAAAATTTTTAAGATTTATTTTATAGGATAGTGTAAACTCATTAATTTTAATTCAGAACTACCATTTCTTAATGTTTCTTTAGTTGTTAAGCAGATCATTTTTTTGTAAATTTCAATGTACCTATATAAAATTTAAACTTAAATATCTGACTTATTAAAATGGTGTTCTAAGAAAATGTTCATGCTATCAGGGTTTTAAAAATATGGGGGCTACCATGATTTTAAAATGATAGTTATTTATAATATAATATTATAAAAATTAGTAAGTATAATAATTAATTAGTACTAGACTATATTTGACATATATTTTATATTCTAATTAAACCCTTCATTAAGAATTATCTTTTGAATATAAGCTTAGAAATTACTCTTCAAATTTCAGTTTTATGTACATTGAGAAATGTTGTAAATACAATTTATATTTAAAAAAACTTTAGTTCTGATTTTAAAATAAAAAAAAATCACTTATTAGCTACATAAATGTTTGCATCTAATTTTGCCTATGGTTCTTTTTAGGTATTGATGGGTTTTCTAGTTGGTAATGATTTTATTCCACATCTACCTGATCTTCATATTTCAAAAGGAGCCTTGCCAATATTATACAGAGTTTATATGGATATTCTTCCTAAAGTTGAAGGTAATTTTGTACTATATTATAATATATTATTTTCTTTTCTTTAAAGTTGACAAATGTATAATTTAATAAATAGGTTATATTTATATTCAACAATTGATTTTTTATTCAATATGCCATTAGCTAGGTATTTTTTTTTTTTTGTGTGTTTAGTAAAGAATCATTTTAGCACTCTAACTTGTACAAACAAAATACTAAATAATGAAATTATAATCATTACACATACATACATATAGTATTAAGGCACGCCGTTCATTATTCACACTTAACACGCTTACTGGTTTGAAAAAAATCTTTGGTTGTCTTCCTTTCATGGTGAATTCTTTAATTAAGTCACAGATACTCATAATACGCATGTATGTTTTCATCATGGTTATCTTCAACGTATTTAACGACAATGTTTAGATGATCTTTAATTTCACCAAGTTTTGGCTTAGGGGTGGACATTATCATCTGCTTCCTCCTGATGATATTCATCCGTTTAGAGCTTTCTGTAGCTGTCACACTTTCTACAATCTCCTTCTCTGTTAAAATATGACAACTTAGATCATATTCATCTGATTTTAGCCACAACTCATCGTCTTACGGTGTAGCTGAATTTTCTCTTCCTTGGTGGATAATGTTGTGGAAATCCTCTGTTTTCAATTCAACCGTACTACCGTAGTATCTGGTCTAACTTCTTCATTTATTATAAGTTTTTTCTGTGAGTTAATCAAAGTTGAAGGTTTGATATCTTTAACAGCAGATATATGTGTATTTAATATAATATTGCTAGTTGAATCAAATACATATGGATAATAATTGGATAACGTTAATGACAATAGTAATTGATAATTAATATTTAATCGCGATAACCTGCATTAATGGGAAATTTGTAGAACTCATGTTCATGTTTATTTAAATCTACGGCATAAAGTAGTGTAATTTATGTGTTATAAACGGTTGTCCAGATTAAGTTAAGCCTGGACTAATAGGGTTTTACTGTACTTCCAGAAGTCCAATTTCAATTTTGAAAAATATTTGAATTTCATCTCTAGTGATGTCTTCTTGTCTGTGTTATGTAGGAAATGAATTTTTTCTTTTAGCAGCACTAAAATAAAAAAGAATTTTGAAAAAAAAATTCATTTTGTACTATACCAATTAACCAATACAACAAATCAAAAATCCACTTCCTACATAACCTAGGAAATAGAATAAGAAATTCAAATATGTTTTCGAAATTAAAATCGGTCTTTTGGAACTGGGTGAATTTTTGTACCGCTTTTTAGGACTTTTGTGTTGAAACTTTTTTGATTGCTAAATATAGTCGCGTGTGACTGTAGCTATGCACTTCACCGATTTTCAAGAATCTTAGATGTAGTTAATCTTGAAATACCTAAAGCATTCAGGAAACTGATCCACCCTAATCTCACAGAGTCACATCACTCACGATGGTTAAGGATATTGCCTAAATCCAACCCCTTAAAAATAGTTTGTTTTCAACAGCCTTAATAACATTTCTACCATAAAGTTTAAATGCTTGTTAAATATAAATACTTGACCATTTTTCAAATATTTTAGAGTTTGAACAGAGCAATGAATATATTTATTTAACAATGATTAATATTTATAAAAGTTATTATATTTTTATCATTTAAATATATTTTAGAATAATTTAGAGCCGAAAGTGTAATTAAACTTTTTTAGGTTATTTGAATGAACAAGGAACATTAAATCTAAAACGGTTTCAAAAATTTATGGAAACTTTGGCTAATTTTGATTATGATCAATTCCGAGATACTTATGCTGATATAAAATTCTTAGAAGGGAAACGTACTGCAAATACTACAACTTCTAATAAAGTTGGTTTATTTTATGTTAATTATTAAATTTATGAAATTAATAATTTGTTGTATTTTTTTAATAATTAAAACACATTATTTTTAGGTTAATAATGATCCTGCATACAAAGATGAATTAGCTGCTTTAATAAAAGACACAGATAGAATAGTAAGCATTTTCATCTATTTGTTTTTATTTATAGTTTTATTATTACATTATTAATAAAATATAATGTTAGCTATTGAGTGATGATGATGATGAAGATGAGTTTGAAGAAACTGAAGATGAATCCATAATGGCTGAATTTAATTTGCATAAAGAAAATTATTATAAAAATAAACTTGATTATAATGTTGTTACAGAGTAAGATTGATTTAATTTTTGTTTAAACGTATACAAAAGTTAATTTTATTTATTTATTTAAGTGATGTAATGCGTTCACAAGCTGAAGGATATATCAGGGCGTTGCAATGGAATCTAAATTATTATTATAATGGTTGTTGTTCATGGGCTTGGTATTATCCACATCATTATGCCCCATATATATCCGACATTAAGGGTTTTGAAAATCTTAAAATAGACTTTGACTTGGGTCAACCATTTTTGCCATTTGAACAGCTATTAGCAGTATTGCCATCACTTAGTAAAGAACTGTTACCTAAACCTCTTCAAGATTTAATGACTGAAGAAGCTAGTCCAATTAGATTATATTATCCTGAAAAATTTGAAACTGATCTTAATGGCAAACAACATGAATGGGAAGCTGTTGTACTTATCCCTTTCATTGATGAAGTAAACATAATTTGTTTTAAAATATATTTTATAAAAATTATAAATTATGTAAATAATTCACTAAAAATTAAATTCTCTTCATTTAGGAAACTTTAATTAAGTCTATGAAAATGGTTGAACATAAATTAACAGCAGATGAGAAAAATAGAAATACTCATGGTCCAATGCATCTTTTTAAGTACACAAAGAAAAGTCTTGGTATGTGAATGTAATATATTAGGTGTAACAGAAAAGCCTGACCAGTTCTTGATCAGCTTTTGTTCTAATCAATATTTAAAAATAAAATGTATACCATTTACAGGCGCATGCGTTACACTTAAAGTAAATCATTTTTATTTTTATTTTTTATAACTAAAAATAAAAAATTTAGATTTGATACAAATTTGTTTTGAATATTTGAAAATGGCCAATTTCTTAATCTTGTTTTCAGAAAAAATTTGATTGTAAAAACATAAATTGCAGTCCTGTAGTTTATTTTTACAATTTTTTTTGAATCTCATTATTATTGTTAAAGAAAGTTGATAAAAAACTTTTTAAATTCAAAAAGTAAAAGCTTTTTAAAGTATCTGATGAGAATTTTTTAATTGGTACTTGTCTAAATATGTTTATAAAAAAATAATTAATGAGTCTTCAATAAAAAATTGACCTTAAAAATCATAAAAAATAAATCACTTGATTCACATCAAGTTTTTTTAAAACCAGAATTATAGATTGGCTATTTTGAAATTTAAATCAGATTAAAATGTTTTTATTTTCTGAATTAAAAATTTTATGTTTTACACAAATCAATACATTGCATTTGAAAAAGATTTTATTATTGATTTTAACAATAGGTATTTAATTTGCCAGGTCTTTTTGTTACACTATACATTATTAATTAAATCAAATTTGATGTATTTTTTTCATATTAAATTTACTATTGTTTAGGCACTGGTTCAATTTCAAAATATTTTCCATCAATTGAAGATAGTCATGCCGAGAAAATAGCTATAAATCGTGAAGATATTTTTGTTGACATAGGTGACCTAATTAAAGGTTTATATCCAGGCGTACAAATGGATGTTTATCATGTCGGATTTCCATCACTTCATCTTATTCCAATTACAGTTAATTTAAATTAATATTTAATTTCAATGCAATTATAGCTAATATATATATTTTTTATTATAATAGGCTCAATTACAAAGACGTAATGTAAAAGTATTTCAATCGCCTAGTTTGGGTGAAAATATGATTATAAAAATTGATAGTAAAGATGAAAATGATACTGAAAGTATACAACACATTGCTAAGGAATTGCTTGGAAATACACTCTATGTAAATTGGCCTCACCTTGAAGAAATTAAGTGAGTGTAATTTTTTGAAGTTTGAGCATTGTAAACTTGTAGACAACTTACATGTTTTAAACATTATTAGGGTTACAGCTGTTTCAAATACAACAGTTAAATTATCATTTAATGAGGATGAACAATTGATAATACGAGAAATGAGTGAAACAGATATACAAGAGTTTAATCTGCTTGCCCAAGGCATCGCTAAGATGTTAGTAATTAATAGTTATATTGATTAAATTATGTTATGAACTTTTTTGATTTTTAAATTCAAACCGAACAATATATCTAATAGTTTGGCTATCAACATTTAATAATCAGAAATCTAACATTAAAAAAATTATATTTATTATTTATTAGAGGGTTGTAAAGTTTATTTTGAAATGTATTTGAACCTTATTATTATTTTCTAAAAAGCCTTGAATTCAAAATTCAAAATTAGAAAAATGTTAAGTTTGGTTTAGATTTGAGTTCATATAAATTAACAAAATATTCTATTGTTCGGCTTGCTTCTCAAAAATCAGGGTTCATGAATAAAACCAATAGAAAATTGATGACATTATTTATGAAACAGGTTTATTACAACACGTGGTATTGAGATTGGTAAGACTCATGTATTATTGCGTGGTCAAACTTTAAAAGGAACCAAATACGTGCCAAGACAAGATGGAAGTGGAGTCGATCTCATAAAAGTTGTATGTATTTTATTATTAAACCAGTCTTTGAAGTATTATACATTTTTAAATTTTTAAACAGTGGAATGAAATCCCAACAACAATTGCCTATCAAACATCTGTGCCTGGCTTGGAAGTAATTGATCCTAGTTTGAAAGATAGTTATTTTTCTCTGGAAGAATATTTTCCTCTTGGAAGTAAAGTGTTTGTCCTCGATGCTCCATTTTATGGTTGCCAAGCAGATGTACTTGGTGGTTTTATATCTTCAAGGGTTAAAATTAATATAATACTTGAACCAGAACCCTATGTTCATGATTTGAAAGAATGCCTTGAATCCGTTTCTACAGAACTTTTTTATGGTAAATTAGAAAGAAGCTTTTATTTTGAAACATTTAAAGAAACATTTTCTTCTTTAGCTAATACTGCAGCATCTAAACTCTCAATCAATTCACATTTACTTGCTAAGATTACTGGAACAATATTTTTAGCAGTTGAGACTTATGAAGATAGGAATGAAAAAAGAATGAATATTGGAATGAACCTTAAATCAAATAAACGAAATGAAGAAGTATTAATTATAGTTATTAATTAATATGTATTGTTAAATGTATTCATTAAAATTCTTATTTTGTAGGTTGTTGGATTTACAAAAAAATTTGATAATGTTTGGATGTATTCACAAAAAACAATAGATTTGTTGGGAGAGTATATTCAAAGATTTCCAGAGTTAATAAATGTTTTATTGAGTACAGAAAGTTCCAAGGATACTTATAAGTCTGAAGATATGTTTCCAGATCCAAGTACAAGGTTTGTCTTTTAAGTCTGATAATTAACCTAATTTTATTTTATTAAAATGGTACAAATATAATTTTTAATTGGTTTTACAGAAAACAAAAATTAGATGATCTAAAAAAATGGCTTAGTGAAATTCGTTCATTAACTAAAGATAAGCAAACCTGTGGATCAATGGAACCATCTAAAGTAGCTGCTGTGGAAAAATATATGGATCAATTTATCGCAGAAAACAAAAAACACAAAAAAACTGTGACATTAAGTGTGAAATCACAAAATCTTTTTAAAGTAAATTAATTTTAATAGTATAATGAAGCAGTTTATTATTATTTAATTTATCTTATAGCCAATAACTAAGCTAGACAAATTAAAAGCTGATGAAGGAGCAGACACGCGGGTATTAGACCGTATAGTGTGTATTAGATCTTCATATCAAGTTCCTCTTGGTTTCAAAGGCACAGTAGTCAGTGAGTATTTTGTGTTTTATCTTATAATTAACGATGTAAGTGAATGAACTGTTTTTTATTTAGGTATTTCTAAATCAAATATTGATACCGAAGTTGTATACAGTGTTATATTTGATAAGGAGTTTCCAAATTCTGTATCATTTGGTGGTTCTACAAACCGTGGGTATAAATTGTGTAGAATGTCATTCATAAACTTGTCACACGCCATACGCAATGGGTTGTATAAACCCTTAAGTGTAAAAAAGACAGTAAATCAGACTCATAATTCAGAGAAACAGGTTTGTTATTTTTTTATTGTTTAGAGTAAAAATTGATCAGTCACTGTGATTTAAAATTTCTTACCATTTGCCATTTAACATAATGTTTGTTAATAATTGATATAATTTTTATTTTAAGAACACCCAATTGAGTATATGGGAACATTTGCAGGTTAGTTTTACTTTTTATATTTTTGTAGTGCATTACATTGAAATGTCTAATCTAACCTATCCTAACCTTTTAAAAATATGCACAACACATACAATAATTGTAGCTGTCATGCAAACATAATTTGCAACATTTGTATTCAGAAAAACTAATTTTGTGTTGTTAAGCTTAATATTTGAGTGAATTAACTATTTACTTATTTTAATGCTTAAGTGTTAGAACATTATCGATGTTGATATGCCTGTTAAAAAAAATAATATTTCCATTTTTAAATGTGTATAAGGTTAAAATATTTCAATTTAACAATGGTAATAACTCAATAAGAATTTTAAAATCATACAAAACTGATGTAAAATCACAAATAATATACTTCTTTTTTAGTTTATAGTTTAATATTGGTTAATTTACTCTAATATTAAAGCTTACGACACAAAATTGGTTTTGCCGAATATGAATATGCTACTTTGTATGTCGGGGCAACATTTGGTGATGGGACGCTGTCTTAATACTATATAGTTTATATATTTCCATTTTTTAGTGAACAACAGTGCTCATAAGTTATAACATTATTTTAAGTGTACCTAAACATAGTTTTATTTACCCAGCTCCTAAAATTTAAATTAAATTAATTTTTATCTATTTGATTTTTGTTTTATCAATATTTTTAATTTTATATGAATCAAAAAAATAGTGACAACTAGGAAAAACTGTATGTACTCGTTAGCAATTTCAATCTCCTTTAGCTCGATTACATATTCAAATGAATTAGTTTAGAGTACTTAACACCTCACTAAAATGAACAATGTATGACTATTACATTTTTTAAATAATTTGTATACCCTAACCCACACTACACAATTGATACAAATAAAATATAAACATTTTAATAAACAAATGGAAATTAAGATTAAATTAATTGATGACATATTTATCTGTAATGTGTTCATTATTGACACCTTATTTGTTCAAAAGCCATGAGTAACAGTCTACCATTAAACATAGTAGAATTGTGTTAATTTTTATAATTTTTAGTTATAACTGCCTACTGTTAATGTTATTTCAACAGTGTACAAGGGCGAATCCATAATTTCTGTACGAAGGGTAATATAGAAAATATCTAATACATATAATATATATGTTATATATTTTTTGTGAACAGAAGGGTACTTGCCCCTCTAGATCCATCCGTAACAGTGTAGTTGTTGTTATTACTACTTATAGGTTGGTTACTACTGCCAGTATAAAATATGTATTTTTTTATACAAGCACATTGACATTAATTTTCTCTTATAAATAATAAAACATTTTACTTATCAAATAAGTCATTTTTTTCTGTCCCAATGATATCTGCTATGTAGAATTTTACTGTTTATTTCTTACATTTGTATGGATATATTTATTAATTATTACATTTTTTTAAATAGTCAAATAGTAATGGATCAGAAATCAAACTTAAATCTCGAGATGAAAAAATCACATTAGCTCCAAAAGAATCATGGCGACGTCAACAAGTAAAGTTTAATCAATTACTTTTTTTTTTATAAAATAAATAAATTCTAGAAATATGTTGAGCATACAACAACATAATATATAATGAATGAAAGAGTGTTGATTACTTTGTTTTTAACTTGTACTCTTTAAAATAAAAGTATGTGGTATTATTACAAATTAATAGAAAATGAAATTCTAATAGTACCAAACTATAGGATTTTAATTAATAATACTTTTTTTAATGTTAGCATTCGGTTTAAATGATTTAAAATAGCTCAAACAAATTAATCATATATTTAACTTAATACTTAAGAGAACATTGTACCAGGATGTTATGCCTCTGTCCTATTAAGTGTAACATTGCAAATATGAATATAAATATTAGAGAAAATTTATATATTATCAAATTTGTAGAAGAAAATTTAAATTGCGCTCAAAGATAGTTTTATTCATGTTTTTTTTTAAAGGAGTTGTATGAATTTGAAATTTGTAATTATTCAAGTATTTATAATTCATAATAAAATTAAAATTAAAAAACTATGCTAAAGCTTAGTTATATTATCCTCTACAAACTCTGTATTATTTACATTTGCTAAACTAAGGTAAGTATATGTAGATTTGTTATTTTATGCAAGTAAAGACAGAGATAACACATGTGGGCGGGTACATCATCCTCTTAATTAAATAAATTATCCAATTATTTTATTTTAATGTGTAATATTTTTAATTTTTATAGAAAAAAGAATCTCAGAGTCTAAACAAAATAAATAAAATTTTCCAAACGCCTACGGTAAGGTTTCTTCTATATACATACTTTATATTAATTGTTGAAAGAAAATATTAACAAAATTAACATTTTTATTTTATATTTGATTTTTATGCATATTTATTTAAATATTTTAGGAAACAGCTAATGATGAACAGCATATTAATAATAATTCCATCAAAATACAATTGAATGCTGAAGCATGTGTTAGTATTTAGTTTTAAAATATATGTCAATAATTGTAATATTATTTTTTATATTTTATTAGGAATTTAAAACAATAGCATTAAAGAAAATGTTGAAAATCCAACCAGAAGATAATTTTGTTCCAGCTCAAAATGAAGTAATAATAAATTCAATATTTTACACTTTTTTGCTAACTCTGTTCATTTTTAAAAATTTTTTTTAGATTGAACCAGAATATTATTCTAATAAACCAGTAAATTATTTACCAAAAACTTCACTTCATGAACTAAAAACGGTAGAACTTCAATGTTCTAATTACAATACTAATGAACAAGTTAATGCAAATGTAATTCCAAAACTCAACAGCTCAATGGAAAGCACAGTTCAAGTAACTAATGTATGTTAAAACTTTGAAACTAAACTACTTTACCAAAAATCGTAAAAAAAAAATAATGCTCATTGGTGAAGTAAGAATTTCTTGGAAACTAAGTTTTAATGTTTAGCCATTTGAAGTTTTTTGTCACTAACTAACTTATCCTAACAATTCATATAGATCTGTTGAGATAACTCGTTTGCTCGGTCAGTTTAAATTGAAAACATCCTTTAATTCTGTTATGTTCAATTGTAAATACGACAATCTTAAAATGGGTGCAGCATAATAACTTAAAGTTTCTGAAAAATTCTGAATTCACTATTTTTTTTAACATACAAACTACAGTCGTTTGCAGAAAAAAATTTTAGAAAAAAACTGTACAGTAAAGTAGTTTCATACATTATACCTATAATTTTACTTCAATATAACATATATAACTAATATTTTATAGGAAAAGTCTCCAATGGTTTTGGCATTAGAAAAGTATTATATACAGAAAGGTTATAGTCTTCCAAAGTATAGTTTTTTAAATCTAGTAGATGATAATGGTTTTAAAATGTATTGTGCAGAAGTGATTTTACCAAATGGTGTTACAATACGTGGTGAACCAAAACATTCATATATTGAGGTTTGTAGATTTTTCGCTATTCATAATTATTAAATAATAATGAAATATATTTTTCTATTATTTCTGATAATTTATATAGGCATCTGAAGAAGTTGCTTCTCGTGCATTGGTTATTGTTCAACAAATGGATGCTAATAAAAATAATGAACACTCTACTCAGAACAAGCCTCCAAAATCAGATCGAAGAGTTGTGCCTCCTCAACAAGCACCATCCAATGTGTTTATGAATTGGATAACTTCTTTTCAGTCTCAATCTTCTTATCAGCCACCTCAACAGTTACATCAGCAGCAGCAGCAGCAGCAGCAACAACAACAACAACAAATTCAACAGCCGCAACCACAATTACAGCAGCACCAGCAACCACAATTACAGCAGCACCAGCAACCCCAATTACAGCAGCACCAGCAACCTCAATTACAGCAGCACCAGCAACCACAATTACAACAGCACCAGCAACCACAACAGCAACAGCCCTATCCACAAGTGCCCCAATATTTTGAGCATTCCTCACAACACTTCCGACCACCATTTCAACAGTTTCCACCTGGATTTTCAGTTCCTGCTCAACAGTCATTTCAAATACCATATCCACAACAAATGTATAGACAGCAGAATCCTATTGGTTTCCCACTTCAACAGCAACAGTATGTTTCCTAATTTTAGAAATATATATTCTTGATTATATCCAACCATTTCTTAAAGGTTTTTCAACTATCAGCAAGAATTACAATATTCCAAAGCAGTACCAGTTTTCACAAGTTTGGTAAATCCATCTCAATTACCACAACCACCTGTTCATTGGCAACCTACCAACAGAAATTGTAAACTAATTTGAAATATGTTATTTTAACGCATTTTTGTTCTTAATGATTTTATTTATTTTCAGTATTAAATAATGAATATGTAATGAATACTATCCCAAACACTTATCAACAACCTCAACAAAACATGAACTATCAGCAATATGTGTCAACAACGCCAAATGATATGCCAATGGTAATAATCAAAAAAATATATCCATTTTAGTACATTCAATGTAAATATAAAATAATTTTTAAGAATGAACAGTACATGTCAAGTAACAGAGTAATGATTCCAAGTCCTTCGAGTGCATTTACATCAGCAGCTAATGACCAGTCCACATCCAATCGTAAAGTAAAAGTAGCTGCAAATTTTAACTTTTCACAACAATAAATGCTCGTTTTTTACTTAATATACTAATCTTATTTTCAAATATATTCATAAAGTGGAAAGTAATTTTAAATTGTAGTTTATTTTTAGGTAAAACATACATTGATTGGGTATTTTAATATATTTACTAAATTTAATTTTAAAAATTGGCCAGCATTTTCTTACCCTGGAAAATTAGATTGATATTAAGCATTTTAATTTGTTTTTTTTTTGTATAGATTATTTTAAGATTGTATTATTGAGTTCATCATTATTTTAAACTTGATGTGTAATTTTTTTAATTTTTTTTAGTAATCTGAAAAATATGTAAAACAAGTTTTTTTGTGTAAATATTGAAAATAAAAAGCGTGAAAGAAATCTCACATGAAATTAATTTTTAAATGATTTTCTTTTGTAACAGTTCTATATCAAATATATCAATATATGCCAAATAGTATTAATAGTGCAAGCTTTGGCATTAAGTTAAATACTTAAATGAATAACTTATTTATGTTTCCATTATAGAAGAAAAAACCACATTTTACTTTTATCACATCTTAGGAAACTGGTTAGTTAATTTAATTCATTTTGTCTATTGATTATGGTTAAATTAAGCTATTAACTTTTGTTTAAGAATTTGATATGCAAAACAAAGGTATTAGAAAATTAGAGTTATATGAATCTTATTAACTTCTTGTTAAAAATTATTATTTGCCATACATTGATTTGTATGCACTTGAGACTACTACAGATGAAATTGTTGAGTTTTATGGTTTATCATTTTTGTGTATTCAGTACAACCATGTTTTTTATTAAAATGTTACATAGCTATTGAGCTATAATATTATAAGTATGTCGTATGTAGGTATGTAGTACTGACGTACACCTACTCATATCTATTATGAGTTGCTTCCAATAAATTAAAAGTCATTAGTCTTTATATTGAAATTATAAGAATACCGAATAAGGAGTAGGTGTGTAGACTGTAGAGAGTAGAAGTATCAGGTATATTAAACTTACATACTTACTACTTAATACCTAGATACCATGTAATAGACATTCTCAATCTCAAAATATTATCTACAAAATCAAGTCACGTTGACAATAGCACTGAAGTGTTCAGTGGACAATGGCGATACAATTATGAAAGGGGTCAATTTAGGTTTACCAGTGGCGTGCTCAGTTTTTTTGGAAGGAGGGATGCGTTTTTGACTTCCCAAATTACATTATATATACATTCTAGATTAATTGGTTTAGTGCTTTATCATATATATATATATTTAATATCAAAAAAATAAGACAAGGGGGGGGGGGGCGGTATGACACCCTCATTACCACCTGTGAACACTCTCCTGCCATACATCAAATTAGTGCGTAATGCGTACCTACTGCGTAAATCATTACAAGTTATTACTAAATCCATTTCTAAGTCTTAACGGTAGGTTTAAATTATAAATGTATTAATTATTTTGATATTTTATTTCTGCTGGCGAGAAAAAGTTTGGTGCGGACCGCAACGTATATACCTATGTTTTATACTGTATGATAGTATGGTACCTACTAAGTACTAACTGATGTACTGTGTCAACATCACAGTAGCTGCACAGTGCGTCCCAAACGGCTCACATCCATTATTCGGATTGTTTTCCCGTCAACAAAGGTTTCACCAAAATTTACCCAAAGTATGATTTTTATATTTATTAGCTCTAAAATTAAAAAAAAACCGTTTGTCTTCTATTTTAATTAAATTATTTATAATAATAATTAGTTGTAGTCAGTAGGTGTACCGTATAATATACACAGACACCAGCAGGTAGAGGTAGGTACTAGGTATATTGGTTAAAGTAGCAACTGCGATCTGACTGCACTACAGCGGAATCATTTAATCGCGTGATTCTTTTCTGGACGTTTTTTGAAGCGGAGTTAGCCTGTTAATTCTATACTCCTTAAAAGGATAATCCTCCAGCCTTCTGGATTCGACAGTAAGTCTTAATAACAGCTAATTGCAGGGCCTACCACCTATAGGAGTGGCGTGCTCAGCTTTTATGAAAGGGGAGATGTGAATTTTTGACCACTTTATACATTCATTGCTTCATCATACATATTTTATCGGACAAAAATAAGCCAAAGGGGGGATATGAAATCTATTTTTATGCTTTAATTATGTAAATACTGAAATCCTGATTTTCGCAATTTTTAATAGGTTCAATATAAGACTATATATTTTCGAAACCTTAAGATTTTTTTGTACCTCTGAAGGATAATCAAGTGACAATACAAACTTCCGTTTTTCAAATAGGAACCCCCTGTTTTCACTTCAAGTTATTCAGCGGGTATTTTTTTGAGAATATTGATTTATCTATAAATCAAAATTTAAGCTACATTATTGTAAAGTATTTGAGTAAATTTTTTCCAATTACTTTCTGAACGGATGTATTTGTACCTTAATGTTTTTAAAAATTAAAAATAATTGCTAAGTAATTGAAATTTGCTTAACATCGTCGCTTCAAATTTCACGCGCAGTCGTACGCCTTTGAAGTGTTAAAAATATGTTCTTTGTTATTCCGGCACTGCTCAATCGTGTACCCAAAAATTTAAGACTCGCGCAATCGTACTCCTCCATTTTGACGTGGACCGAGTGCGTCTAAGTAGATTTAGACCTGAGAATTACCTTAGGTGCACTACGAGGATGCTAATCAGCCTGGCATTAACCCTAAGTGTATCTTGGCACACTCGTATATTTTAATTCGGTCACACATCTAATCATTTTAAGTTAGAATTAATGTACTTATTATTAAAATATATGTATTATGTATACATTTTACTCATTTTTCAACAGACTAGTGTCTACAATGCCATTTTTTTTTTACAAAACCCAGTTTTGAAATTAAATTATTCTGAAGTTTGTTGATCAAAAATTCAATTTTCTTATATGTACTTCCATTTTGTTTTCCTGTGATTTGTGTGGCCATTTGGATTGGTACATGTATTAGCTAGAGTCGATTTAATTATTTTTTATATTTCTAATTGTATATATATATATATATATGATCAATATTTGAAATGAGTACTTGAAGTAAAAACTAGAACATGCAAATTTGTTGTCCTACTGTCCTTTAAAAAACGAAACGCACTCTGATTATCTCGCATTTCAAATGGTTCTGTGGAGTGCTGGGACAAGCCTAATCTTAAAAAGCGTTTTATTCGTATAGTTATTAATAACATAAGTCTTATGAACCTACAGATAGATTTTACCCTAGTATCTACTGTAGATAGTTTTTACCTGGCGAGCATCATGAGGAAGTAAAAGAAAATTACGTAAGTATATAAATAGCTTATAATACACGACAACTGCGACTACGACCTACAATCTGTCGATGTGTTGACTGTGTAAAATGATAAAAACATTACTGAAAACATTATTTATAAGCACAAACAAATTGAAAATAGGTACCTACCTATATGTGCTAAAATACGACGACCCAATCTAACGTCGAAATCGATATTGAGCTCAGAGCTGTAAATACGAAAACCCATATGAGTACCTATGTGACCGACACTTTAAGTTCTACACACAATATATGTTAGCAGGTAAAATAGTTTTTATCCAGAATTTTCGCATCGAAAGTATAGTTTTCGACGATGGTTAAAAAGTTGGAAAGTGACTTTTTTTGATTCAGCGGGTGGCAAAGCGAAAATCCCGAAAAGTGCTGGGTGTATGCCCTGCCTATTCAGACACTGAAATCTATACTACGGTCCTAACAAAACATAAACTTTTGGTTAGGTACCTACATTTTATATTCTTCCTTATACATCAATTATCTTTCATGAAATTGTTTTAGTAGGATAGCCTGATTGTTGCATAGATACCCGCATTACCTTTGCTATGATCGATGAAGGCAGTGGCATGGCGAAGAATAGTATGTGTGGTTCGTGCCCCACACGTCGCCCGAGACTGAAATAGCTCACTTCCAGCCCTTGCCACACAATATACTTTTATATCAAAGTAATATCAGTTATCACTTGTCTTATTACCATCATCCAAATTCCAAAGTCATAAGCTCGTAAATTAAGGTTTAATATTACCACTTGGTTACTACTTGCTTTAATAAAAACTTAATTCTGTTTTCTGAAATATTAGCCAACTCAGCTATTAACTATAGTACATAGTATTTAAATATATTTTGACGAATAACATATATTAGTATAACATGATAACCAATTAGTAATTGCCATAAATCACTAATAAAATTATGTTAAAAATTATAAATTAATAGATCGGTGCTGTTATTGGACGTTTCCAAATTGTTTCGCGCGCAACGTTCGGGAAGTGTCCGCTAGAGGGAGCTCGCCGTTCCCACAACAAACCGCGTCTGCGTGCGCCACTCCAAGAATCTTCTGGTCTCTCATCCGGGCGGCACACCGGTGCGTCGTGCGTGTTTGTTTTTGTTGTTTGTTGTGGCACAGTGTCCCGACGAACGCGTTGTTGGTCGTAGTCTTCTCGTTACCGTCATGTAAAACCTTCTTTCTCTTCGTTAAATCCGCGATTTTTCGTGTCCTCTTAGTCACTTTTCGTTCCGAATTTTATCGCCGTTTACTTAATTTTTTGTTATTGTTATATTTTGTTTAATGCACACACATTTTACATAATATGAAAAATATATTCCATACATTTCGCGCATACATATCGTATTGAATGTCAGCCGTACACTCGCGCACGGTATAGACAGAGTGGTTCAGCCGAATGCGAATTGGCAAAAAAACCGCCGAAGATCACCTAACACCTAGCACTCAGCAGCACCTGTCGGTCGAGGAATTTAAATGCTGGGCGATTGATCACAAGGTACTAGGTTTTATAATATTATAATTTTTATAATAGGTATAGGTATACCATATTGATATTAGCATACATTAGTACGCTGAATCTGCACGATTTTATGCTGTGTACCTCTTCCAGTATCATATTATTCATATTGTATTACATACCTGTATCGTAAAGTCGCCGACCCTAATGCCGCAAATGGCCTTGTTTATAAAATACCATCTGTAATATATTTATAAGAAAAGGTACTGACACATCGCAACCCTCTTTGAAAAATCGTCTCCAATTGCAGTCTTCACACTAATACCGTTTAGGCATTATAAAGACGGAAACTGCTGTATAATGCATAAGATTTAGGTATATTTCTTAGTATGGTTGAAATTATAGCATTGCCAGCAGTAAAAAGGTTAGGACTAACCGTCGAAGCTACAAAGGTGGAGAGTCTAAACTGCAAAAACAGTAATGGTGGCTGGTGCCATATAGTCAATGAGTATGTGGTTACTAGTTAGTAGTTACTAAATAATTATCACCGATTATTAAACGGAAAGGGTTGTAGAGTTAATAGTGCAAAACCTACTCGTAGAAAGTTAGGTATCGATGGAAAACCAATCAGGCCTTTTTACTTCGATTTCCGTCCTTACGAATGTCGAATTCGTATAGATCTAATTAAAATACAGTAGGTACCTATTTACTATTTTATATAAACGCAATCATTTATACCACACTTCCGATTGTTTATAGCTACACTAATTAATTTTAACTACAATTGTATTGTACATTTAGAAATACATTTTAGAAATCTACGATTTTACTGTTAATTACAAGCTATTTTCTATTTATATTCACATTTTCACTACCTAATCATGTTATGAGTTATAATAATAAAAAATAAATAAGAGATTATTTTTAACAAAAAAAAATAGTTTGTTATTTGGTGAATTTAATATATTACGAATCGTATTTTATTTAACATAAAGGATTTTTTACATGATGGCTAAAATTATATTATAAACTTGACGATTAAAAAACATTGGGTAGGTAATAATATAAATCTATTTTTAACACGTATTTTCGTCTTTCACAAACATTACCTAGTAATTTACATTATAAAGTTAGTACCTAAAAATTTAAAATTCTTAAAAACATGTCATTATATAATCTGTTTCAATAACTAAATAATATTTGGGAAATTATGCTATATTGACAGTAAATATTATGACATTATGTATTAATTATAGGTATTTTATGTGAGCATAAAAGGTGTTTTGAATGGTTTAAAAATTTTCAATTTGAAATTAATACTGTTTAAATTGTCCACAAATTTATGATTACATTTCACATTCAAAGAAGCTCAAAATGCATACATCTGTATAGATAAATATACCTATAATATAAATTGATAAAATGACAAGATTTTATTTGATATTATCCTTATTAAACTGCTGTATTGCCTGCATTTATGTTCAGTAGGTAACAACATTAATATTTCGTTCAGTATCTCTAAAGAATGGAAAGTTTTTGACATTATTGTTATTGACAATTATTGTCTTCCAATTATGTATTTGGTGTTTGTCCAAAAAGATATTGTTAATGGTGAGAGTTTAGTTAGAAAACAATTAAACGCCAAAAAGTTAGAAAGCGGACATCAAAAAATATTTTTATTTTATCACTTATTAATTATTATCTATAATATTTAATAATCTGTAAGTACCTATTATGGGCGATTTATTGGTATTTGATAACTCAATAAATTTATAAATATAATCATAAGCTAACTGTCAATGTATATCTATTGACTATTAGTAATTTTATTTTAAAATATTAACAAATGCGAATTAATGGTTTAGAAATAAGAATGAAACCAAATGGTCATTATAAACACATTAAGATTCTTATAGTATAAAAAGCCAGCATATTATCCCCAGGTATCTTCTTTAATTAACTAATCTCCGTGTTATATTGTGTTACAATTCGTGATGACTGATGAGTTTTGCTATTATTATTCATTATAACCCATATGATAACTATAGCAACTTAAAAGATCCACTCGATCCTTCATAATGTCTTTTCAACAACTCTTGTACAACAAAATATATCAGTTAACAGTTACAGTTTGATTCATTACTAGAAATCGTGTTTAAAGTTTAATCCAAAGCTTAAGATATTGCAATTTTTACTTGAATAGTTAACTTATATTAGATAATCAAAAAAAGGTATTAGGTAAATTTTTTAAAACTTATTACACGTATATTTAAATAGAAAGTCACGAGGAATCGCGGAAACATGAATTTCATAATATACGAGTACATAATATAAAAGTAATGAACCTTTTTTAATTTTCTTTCATATTTTAACATTAAACAGTTATCTTTATTTTATAATATTATTCAATTTTTTTATTACATCTATTAACCGTATTCGTTTTAATTATGTACATAACCATTTGTATTGTTTTTGTAATATATATATAAATAATTACCGATTTTAATATTTATTTTTTATGGAAATTTATTCTAATTAAAACTATAATTTATATCAAAACTCTTCGAGTTCTTGACATTAAGAATAATCAACAAATTCAATAATACATTTTGGCGGAATGGTTTGATATTTCACAAAGAATTTTTCAACCATAATATTCATAATTATGGGAGTCGAGAGAAATTAAAATAATAGGTAAGGGGCATCCATACAACATAACATAATTTTTTTCTTGTTGTAATGCAGAATGAAATAACCGTATGTACGTAACATTTTCACAAAATATTTATATTTGTACTATATTTATAGACACAATAAAATATTCAACCTATTGACCTATTTGATCTTATTGAGTTAAATATACACAAAAAATAATAATGTTTTACCACTTTTAAGTGTGTAGACATGTTTTTACCACTGAGAATGATCAGTTTAAGGTACAGCATTATTATATGATGATGATGTTAATATAGGTATTACTTATTTAAATACTTTTATTAGTTAAAAATGGCATCATGAAAAATTATTTAAAGGAAAAGACATCATAAATAAATGAAATAGTTCAACTATAAGGAAACCAGCCTAATCAATTAATTAATTTTATCCGTTTTTTTACATAGACTTGAGAGTTGAGGTAATATATTTATGTGAGCTAAATTACTTATATTTAGTATTAAATTTATCTTACGTGGTTATATCAAATGGTTAAGTCATTTAAGTACATGGTATTTTATCTAACTTGTTTAGTTTATTATAAAATACTTTAGTAAATAATGCTTTCCTACTTAATATTTGTTGACGCTTGTACCTATGTGCAATTCATGGTCTTATCAGTTTTTTAAAAATAATTCTGGTGTTCATTAAAAGATCACTCAATTCATAAATATTAGCTTCAGGTGCATTTTAACAATAATATAGTAAATACATTTACTATCAGCTAAGCGTTATAACTATTTTGTTTATACTTGTATAATATAATGCATAAAGTATTTTTAAATTTTTTATATAATGTGTAAAAAAATTTTAAATTTTAAATTTAAACCGAATACATGTATAAAATAAATTAACTAGAAAACTATATGATTAATAACTATTAAATCTCCTTATTTCAACCGCAATAGATAAAAAAAACAATACATTTTAAAACAATCTTTTTAATGTGTGTCTGTCTTTTGACGGATCATTCCGCAAACTGAAAACATCTTTCAAGTTTCAGCTAGTCTTGAAATACCCCACCAGTTAGTATACTTTTGCCAGCAGGAGAACACGCCGATTCTGCGCAACCACACTCGATACCCTGTTATCGAGACCGGTTCCACCAGGGCATCACGTGATGGGGATGCACAGAATAATCGATTTTCGTCGGCGTGTTCCTCGTTCGGCAGAATACCTATATAGAGGTATAACTGGATGATAAAAAACAGGTAACTCTTTTTGCTGTTTAGTGGCTAGTCAATAGGTTTTGAGGGTATCTATCGTTATTGAGTAGGTCACTGTACTTATCGGATGTGTTAAATTTGAATACAACGATAATTCATTAAATAATAAGTACGATAAATAAAATGAAGGAGACGGGTGGATCAACATCTATTTCTAAGAATAGTCTTACATATAAATCTTGTATCATATTATATCATGAATGAATATTTTCTTAATTTGGTAAGTTGATGTAATTTTTGACGAAATATTGAATACAACTTATAGGAAGTACTCTACATACCTACCCGAGAATAGTGTGAATATTGGTTTGTTGTATTAAATAACCCAAAATTAATCTTAATATTTTTAAAATATCATTGTTTAAAGATAATATATGATATATGAATATGTTATGATGAAAAATTTCAAGTTTACGATAAATATATTTTAAATTACAACAATATGACTTAAGGCTTTATTTATTATTTGTTTATTTTTTGTTAAAATATTCAATTTTGTTTAAATCAACATTTGCAGTTAAAAATGTTTATGTGGAAAAAAACTTGAGACTATGTTATGTATAGTTTATAAAAACAACTTATGACTTAAATGGAATCTTTTATTGAATTTTCAAGCTTTTGTGATTGAAAATTCAGAAACAACTGCAATTTTATCAACTTCAATCTAAAAAGCATAAAAAAATTTACAATATTTCAAACTCAATAAATAACTCAAAAAGAACAAAATATTGTGAAAATTATACCGTATATATTATAAAATAATAATAATGATGTATACTGATCATTGAGTATTTCGTGAAAATGTAATGAGGAGTCTTCACGATCATTATTTATTCCTTTTTGGATCACCTAAAATAAAACCAAGTTTGTCGAAAACAAGACGTGTGCATAATATAAGTATGCCCTTTCCCCGATTGTCAAAATGAGCAAACATAGCAAACCCTTAATTCCCTACTTTTGACCCCGGAGTACCAATTAGATCAAAATATTGTTTACCATAAACCACCCTCAATATTGAAGAAAAAAGAAAATTTAATCTAAATTTCTCCGTGATACTAAAATGCAACCACAAAAAAAAAAAAACATTGTAAAACTAATATA